TTGTTGATTGTGCCAGCAAAATATCAGTGGGTTCCACTATTCAGCTGGGCATTCTGAACTTTAAATGGAAGCTTTCCCTTTTCCTCCTCCTCCTCCATCCTCTAACCTACATTTATATCTTGTAGCTTCTCTATAAGCTTTTATGCCCTGTCAGCTTGGAAGGTTATCCTCGGTCAAAACAGAAATACTTTTCTGGCACCGAGACCCTGTGAGCTTTGCAGTTTAGAAGGTTTCTGAACAATTCCATGCAATAAAGAAGCTGATACTGAAAGTGGATGGTTTTAATGCTTGAGATAGCATTGTCTCTAAAAGAAAGGAAGTATGCAGACCTCCCTGCAACTGTCAGTAGCTGATCGTCACCTCTTGAATCTCACTTTCAAATTTCACATGAAAGGGTAGTTTCTGCTTGTGGGGTGGGGGGATGCAGGATTTAAGCTGCATTAAACTATGTACAAAAGCACAACGAACCGCCATGAACAAATTGATATAACAGCAAATATAGTGCTAATAAAAATAGCCTAATTTAACTCCAATTAAAGTAGCCAAACGTTTTCCCTTTTATCCAAGAGATTCAATTCTTGATTGCAAACTTGGTATTCAGTTGGCACAAATACTCCTCTAGTTCATCAAAATAGTAGACACCTTAAATGCTATTCTGTTGACAACTTTAGTTCCATGTAATAGGCAAAGCAGCAATGGTAATTTTTTAAAGTGCAGCTAAAATTTACAGCCCTGCAATAAATATGCAAATACGACAAATGCTGGTGGGTGGGAGATTGACTCTCCCTCTCGGCGATACAGTCATGCATGTACATCAGTTAATTTATCATATACTAGGTAGTGAGAACCCATAATTATTACAGTTCTTCAGCAATTCTTGGCCAACATTTTCTCCAAACCTTTGCTTGGATTATTGTTTTTCTTTAGGGTTAAACCCAATTGGTTTGTGAGAGTAATCCGAAGTCTTGGGGTACAGATAACAATAGTCTATCAATATGCATTACACATTTAGCCATGCAAGGAAGATGTGACTGGAGACATACACAATGCTAGGGCAAGATTTTTAAACCATGATTTGTTGGATATGCTATAGTCACCTGGATCTCACACACAAATTACACTAAGCCATAATAGATGGGATCATCCATCACACTAACTTAAAGCAAAGCTCACGAAGTGTTTCTGTGGTCTATGAAGTCATATTGTTTTTTGCTTACTGTGTAATTGGGACCTGGACCCAGGCCCAGATTCTGATTTAATAACTATGGTTTGTTCTTAATTTACCCTGGTTTATGGCTATGAAGGCATCACACAGTCATTGTTGGGGAATTTATCAGAGGTTAAATATAAATACTGTATAGAGATTTTTATATGCATGTGCTCAGTCCTGTTGCTTCTCCACCCCCAAGAGGTCTGTCTCTGCCTTGTCCTGTATCTCTTCCCCTCCCAACCCAGGACCAGCCTAACTATTCTAGAATCACCAAATAATAACCCAAATTTGCATGCTGTCTGTCATACTTTGAAATGGTAAATGACCATAGGCCAGAAACTAGAGCCTGTTTCAGGGTTGAACTAAAAAGACGACTTAAAAGTTGCTGCAACGTTGATTTTATTAAAATACCTTGCAGTAGTGCCAGGATGAAAAATTATCTTCACTGTATCTTGTATAAGATGGCTCATCCTGGTGCTCTTCTTCTCTGTGTAAAAATATTTAAATTGCAATTTATTTCTGCATAAGTCAAAGGAACTTACGAAATAAAGGAAACCTGATTTAAACTAGCCAAGATACCCTACAGAGTAAATGATTAACAGAATAAACACATATTATCCATAAGCTGGATTCACTAACTCTCTATGCCTCTGTTAGCAGCTTGGTGTGAACCTGCTAGCGTGAGAGCACTTCCATTGCTGGTGACAATTAGAGGATGATGTTGCAGGTGTCAGGTGACTCAAGTGGATCAGTCAGGTTCCTCCCTGTTCCGTTATGCTCCTACACCCGATCTTGGCTTGACAGTTCAGGGTGGTCTTGCCTTCATTACAGTCATTCCTCTTCCCAAATACTTGGAATATATACCAAATGCTTCAAGGTTGGCTGGGTCCACCCCTTGTGCTAAGTCATGGTTTGCATGTAATGCAAATAATCCAGGGGTAATAAACTACAATCCCGCTTACTAACCCAAACCAGGCAAATGACAGGCAGGGTTTGAATGCACCCAAACAGTTCATAAGTCTCATTCCTAAAGACAAACATTAGCACGTTTGTCCGTGTAGCTGAAACACCCAACAATCTCCATTCCCACGCATCCATGGAGGGGAAAAAGGATTTTGCTTTCACTAAAATCACCATTCCATTCCCAGAAACTAGGGCTATGTTGCCTTCAGAGCTTTCTTCCTTCTTGAAAGCATAGAAAGGAGACTGTACCATTTGACAAGGTGAAAGGGCCATCACTGGCCCATTCTCCTGCTGATACTGTACTGTCATTGGTCTATTACTTGCCTATACTGATTGTGGCATGTTGTGAGTGTTGTTGGCTGCTATTTTATGTTATTTACAATTTTGCTTGTGTTTTTATTCTGTTTTTAATTGTTAGCCACCCAATCAGGTATACGAGATGGGTGGCCATATAAATTTATTAAATATTTGGCGGAGCTCAAAATGGGAGGAAAGTGTGTTGTTTCCAGTGCTGCTGGAGGGGAGAGAGGCTGATAGGCAGGCAGAAGAATGAAATGGGGATGACAAGGGAGTTTCCCAGTGGGAAGACTGACTTGTGGAAGGTATTCCACACGTCAATATTCCCATGATCTGAGGGGACAAGGCTTCCAGGAGGTTGTTTTTGTCCAGCAGCCTTAGCAGAAATGGGTCATCTTGATCCAGCTCCAGCCTGCCTTGGCAACAGGCAGGCAGTGAGATGGAAGCTTCATAAGAAGGACACGTCCTCCAGGAACACACAGGAAACAGGCCACCTCAGAGCCAGGGAAGGGAGGTGAATTTCGGTGTGAATGTCCTTGGAGGGATGAGAAGGTTTTCTTCTCTTTCAGCATTGTGTTTTGGTTAAAAAGAGACATTAGGAAAGCATAGTTGGTGATTTAATGTTCATGTGAGTGCGTTTATGTGTGTATGCCTCAAAGGCAGGCAGTGTTTTTGCAGCCTTTTTGAAATCACTTTTTTCATGCCGAAGACATACATGGAGACGAGGTAGTAATATTGCCATGGCAACAGGCCAGAATGCTTGGCCCAGTTTTTCATGCTTTTTTCAAAAGTTGGTAGTAGTATTTTTAATATTTGTAGGTCTATTTAGCTGTTTACCCATTTCCTTTCATTTCCTATTACAATTTGGGCAATTGAATATAGCAGTTTGGCATTAGGTTTCAGCACTATGATCTTGGAGGATTCAGGATTGCAACAAAATGCCATTTGCAGACTCTGCATCCTGATCCCTTTGCTTTGGTTGGTGTTAATTTGCAATATCTGAATCAGTTGGCTAAATACAGTGGGGCAAAAAAGTATTTAGTCAGCCACCAATTGTGCATGTTCTCCCACTT